TATATATTATAGGTAGTACTGTACTGTAGTAGTCAGTAGATAATATACATGAAAAAATCTCGACGATGACAATCAGTCTATTACAAACGTGCGACATAATAATATAGTTTTTAGATTCCCGTTATGCAGTTCCGATTTTGTATTGTAATTTTATTAACATTAATATTGGAGTCAATAATTGATGTATATCTAGTAGATATTTTCATAAATAATTTTTCTTAATAATTAATGGTGCCACTTGAAATTGCAGAGGATGCAGGTGCATAYCCTGCACCCCCCGTGGACACGCCCATGATATCTACTTGCTAGTCTTGCATCAGGTCCGGATAATGTTAATTTTAGGTCCAGCCGTCCAGGCCCAAAAATATTAATATATTCATTATCTATTGATAATATCCTAATGGTTCCTTAAYCTATCCATATAATATTTTATATGATAAGAAACGTACCTACCATCGGCCAGAGCCCAGAGGAGACCACTATTGTTCGATATCAGTTGTAATAGGCTCGAGTAGTCGAGTCCGTGAACCATGACTCTCCCTTAATCTGGGTTTGGCTATTATTACACTTAAACGTATGAATCATGAACATAAGCAATGATAAAGTAACAAATTTTTCAGATTGGACCAACAGTGTCCAATAAATCAAGCTGAATATTTTTTACTAGGGTGAAATTTAGCTAGCGAAAAATTGTGCTGTTGAATACAGTYGGCAGCACAAAAGTGTCGAATGTGCAGCACGAAAGTGTATTTAAATGTATTTTTGTTCTACACTTATTGTTTAGTTACTGGCAAAATTATAAAATATGGTATCATTACTTATTAAGTTATATACTTATATATTAGTAGTAATGATAAGCTGATAATAATATACAAATGTCGAGAAGGAGGGGGCCCACCTAGTGAATATTTTCTGACTATGTGCCTGGAGATGTAGAAGATAAAGTTTTTTAAATCAGTATTTGATTCAGGGATTGTTCAAAGAGACCATTTAAATAAAATATATACTAATAATGATCAGGTCTCYATAAATTTTCAAAAATTTAATATTTCAATATTTATTAGGGTTTAATTAGATATATTACGTAAAATTATATATAAACATGTCTATTAGGTGTTTAGCTATTATCATAAAATTGCAGTGCAATTACAAAAAATTAAAAACATTAGAATTAGCCATTAGGTAATTAAGTAGGTAGTTAAAAAAAACATGATTCTATAATATCGATATAGCACTATCACCCCCGCCCCTCAGTCCCCTTCCCATAGTTATATGGATATAATGTTTAAATTATATAATGTATGTTAAAGAAACATCAAAGTAACCTATTACGTATAATGTACATATTATTTATGTGTTTATGATGTTCATATAACTTTATTATAATCTAAAGACGATACGTGCATAATTTAAACTATTTTAAGCAGGAGGTTCATGGTGTATACTTATTATAATTTATAATGTTATTGCTACAATGCTACTACAGCTGATTTAATAAGTTAATAACAAGTTGGGAGGTTATCTATAATTTAAATAGATAGCTAATATATGTACCTATAAAGCTAATAACTAGTTGTCGAAAGGCTATCAAAATATTAACGACTTAACATTTTGATACATATCAAAATGTCAATAACATGAATAACATAATATTATTGYGTTTATTTTGCTTTTTTTTATTTTAATGAGCTTTACTCGTAAGTAATATTATGATAGTTACAACTCTTAATTATTTAATTGGCAGTATAACAAATACATAATAAATATAATAGCAATAATATACTAATATAGGTCCTATAGAAGATAAATGAAATAATTAATGAATGGTAATAAGTTGAGAATAAAATGTTAAAATAGGTACCTACACTTTGATAGGTTATAATATTAATAAATTTCAAAAGTGGATAACCTAATCCTAATGTGTTTTGTGTGTAAGTGTAACTATGCATTGGATAGAAGAATAGAATCATAGTCTGTAGAGCACTTGATTTTAGCGAAAATAGATAAGATAATACCTTAGACTTGGGCAAGAAGTGTATTTAATAATTTTTTATAACTGTTGATAGAAAATGAATTAGCGAACTAATTATATAATTTAATACTGAAATAAATTGTGACAGATGACAGTATTATAATAATTAACATGGAGACGATTCGAAAGCATTAGTAATAATAGTAATATTGACAATATTGTCTA